AAGGACTTTTATCTTGGTTCACTATTAATAAAGCTACATCCAGTTCACCCTCCAAGGTGATTTTGCCTTCATAGTAAGGACTTAATCTACTAATCAAAATTTTGATTACAACCTCAATGACAAATTGTCAAAGACTTCTTGAGAATCCTAATTATACCATAATCTCTCATGGAATTTAACAATTGTTAAATACTATTTTGTGTTTACAAAGTTGCTTCTAAAATAAGCAGATACACACAATGATAAACATGATTTATACTTAAGAAAATATATGAAAAGCAGTGCTAAGTTTTTCTCTTTATCTTCGTATGAATCACTTTCGGATCTTCCTTCTCAATCTTATTGGAATTCCACTTATTGAACCACACATTTCCAAGCTTCCAAATCTTCTTTATATAGGAAATGAAATAAATCCATCGGTAGGTGAAGTTGGAATATACTCAAAAAAATATAGTTGTTAGAGATGCTTGATAGTACCAAACTGGAGTAGCATATAACATGTAGTGGATGAGAGGGTGAAATAAGGGAATACATGTTGGTACAATAGTACTGTTATTTTCCTGGTTTTTTGAGTAGTAGAAAGAATATTTGATCTTGTACTAGTTATGCTCTTTCCATATATTCTTCTATCAATAAATATCTTCTCGTTAGAGGCTTTGACTATAAGTTGATGAAACTTGATTAGAGTTTAGAGTTTTATCTTCGAAATCTGATAAAAATGAGACTTTAGAGTCTATAGTGTTCAGAGTCCTGAGGCTTTAAAGGCTTGAAATATCAGAGTCTTTCTCATAGTCACTATAGATAGGTTTTTGTAGAGATATAGACTTGGTAATCCAAATGCTTGACTTTCATTTAAACACACCTTTTGATTTTTTTTAAAGATATGTCATATTTCTTAATGACAAATTCATAATCCATATAAGCTTATGACGAAATCTTTGTTTCAAAATTTTTACACTTGATTTTATCTTTTTCAAGATTGCATATCTTTTCTTTCAAAGTGGGTTTTTTTTTCTTTAGTTCACTATGGGCTTCAAAGTCAGTTACATGAATTTTCTTCAAATCCTTGTATCTTTTCTGAATTTTCTGATACTTTTCAAGACTTTTAGTAAAACATAACTCTATTTCAGAATGAGTTAAGTTTGAGAATACCTTATTAGAGTTTGATTCTTATTCTGATCTAGATTCAAATGATCTTATGCTTGCTATTAGCGACATAATGGTTTGCTCTTTTTCAGAATTATCTCCTAAAGACTCATAGTCATTTCATGTAGCCATCAGAACCTTCTTCTTATATTGAAGAGCTTTTTATTAGGCCTTTCTTTCTTTAACTTGGAACATTTATTTCTGAAGTGGCCTCGCATGTTGCACTATAAACATATGACATCTTTGCCATCACCAAACTTCTCTTGTCTAGAGCTTGACTCATAACGTCCATATGATCTTATGTAACTTCTGAGCTTTTCTTGTATTTGCTTCCAGATTTGGTTAACTCTTCTGGACAGTAAAGACACTTCTTTCTCTTTATCAAAATCTTCTTCAGATTCTTCCTTTTCATCTTGAAGATCTCTAGTCTTTTCAGACTTACATTTAGAATCTATAGCCATATATTTTCCTTTTTATTCGAGGCTTATCTTCTTCTAACTCAATTTCACGACTTCTTAAAGAACTTACAAGTTCTTCCAGATTTATGTTGTTAAGATTCTTAGACACTTTAAGTGCAGTCACCATTGACCTCCATTTCTTTGGTAAGCTTCTAATGACATTCTTCACGTGAACTACAATAGTGTAGCCTTTGTTCAAGATTTTCAAGCCATCAACAAGATTCAAAACTTTGAGAACATATCCTTATTAGTTTCTTCTTCTTCCATCCTGAAGGTTTCATACTTCTGAATCAAGGTCAAAGTCTTAGTTTCTTTCCTTTGTTTGTTTCCTTCATGAGTCATTTTAACAGAATCAAATATACATTTTGTAGAGTCTCTATTTGTTATCTTTTCATATTCAATGTATGAGATTGCTTCAACAAAATAGTCCTAGACCTATGATGATTTTTGTTATCCTTTTTTTGTTGATCACTCATTTCACTTCCGTATTTTTGAAAAGTCAAATTTTGAACAAATACGAAAATACATTCCCATATTAATTTATAACTTAGAAAGAAAAAAAAAAAGAAAAAATAACATAAATGAATAGAAATCCAACATTCTCAAAACACATTGCTATCTAATCTACATAATAAACATATTGTTTAGTTAAACTACCTGTCTAAACTATATATTACACAATATAATGTTGATTTTTTATAAATAAATAAATAGAGAAATTAAATGTTAAAACTTTGGATTCAAAAACTTACAAAATGTAACTTTGATGTTGATTACATCTATTGATTGGATATTAAGAGTAGAAATTTAGAAATGAACTGAGAGGATTTAAAAATTTGAGAGGGTCTAAGAAAGTATGTTGAAAATGATAAAGGAGAAAAGTAAACCTATTTAAAAGTATATTTTTATAGTAGTTTTTGACAAAAGTTAGAGTGTGTCTCACTAATAAACAAATTGTGGGAATTGGAATTTTTTCGAAAATATATTTCTATATTTCAAAGATAGTTTTGATTTTTAATCAGAATGTAGAAGGAACCTTGTATGGGAAAAGGAACCCCATATAACAACAAAGAAAAGTAAATAAAAACCCAAATAGTACACGGGCCGACATAGAGAAACCGCAAAAGATTAGCCCAACGAAAGTCCTTTTTGTCCTTAGTTCATTCAAGTTGCAATTACAAACCCTCAATAACAAAACTGAAAATTAGAGAATCAAATTCAGTTTTCATTCACGCATCTCCGATTGCGTGTGGCCTACTACGGTGATGTTTTCACAGTTATCATTCTAACGCAAAATGAAACCCTCAAACAAACCCAACCAATGACCATAATCACAACCACATAGTTCAGGTACATCTTCTCACTTCAATTCTCTCTCTTTTTTTTTCTATCACAAATTCAAATTACCAAATCATTACACAACTCTGTTCTCTTTCTTTTCATTTTTTTCTTCATTTTTCATAATTAGGTTTTTGAAAAGCACACTCAGAAAACTCTATTTCACTGGTTGCATAATACAGAACAAGTTACGTTTATTTTCATAATCAGAGCCAAGGTTTGTTTCTAGCCTACATAGTCATATTTAATTTGGATTATATATAGTGATTGGAATGTGTGTTTATCATAACCGTTTTTTAATACCTTGATCGTCGGTGAAGCACACTGACACAGACACAATACTGATACGTTGACACTGACACATTGACACTAATAATAATTTGAGAATAGAAGTGATTGAATGTAACTATATATACCGGTGTCAGACACTGATACCTGTTAGGGTTTGGATTTGGATGTAGTTTGGGGTTAGGTTGGCATTTTAGGTGAAGATGTCTCTGCGAATAAAGGCTGTGGTTGATAAATTTGTTGAGGAGTTGAAAGAAGCGTTGGATGCTGATATTCAGGATAGGATCATGAAGGACAGAGAGATGCAAAGTTACATCCAAGAACGTGAACGTGAGGTTGCTGAGCGTGAAGCTGCTTGGAAGGCTGATCTTTCTCGTCGCGAGGTACCTATTGGTTCTTTCAAATTCTTAGTTTCCTTTTTTGAAAAAATTAATCTCCTCTTCTATATAGATGGGAAGAGGAAGATAATAATGAAGTGTAAATGCCCTAATTTCATTTGTATGACAACAAATATTCAGTACTGCTGGTGAATATTTCAACATTTTGATCTATTACTGCTTCTACTGGTCTTCTCTATCTTTTAAAATGCTACTCATATATTTTAAACATTACCGGTGTCTCTGTGTTTGTGTCTAGTGTTCATGTTCGAGTCGCCATCTATGCTTCATAGATTACGCGATGTATTTAGCTTATAATTGGTCTAAATGTTGCACAATTTTTAATTTCTGAATTGCGAGTTTCCTTTCCTTTGATGAGTATCTTATCTTACCCTGTTGTTCCTCCTTGACTCAGAAATGGTCGAATACTAGATGAATGCTGAATTTCTTCTTTAGGTGAATATTTAAGACCATCAGATAAACACGATGTTAATGTCACTGCTGATTTTGATATCGATGCAGTTTTCTGAAATTGAAGAAAAGGAAAAGTAACTGTTTTAATCACGCCAGGCATTTTAGGGTGAAATTATTATATAGCTATAACAATGCTTGTAGCCCATAACTAGCTTCACGCACAAGACACGATACGGGGAACCACTTTTTTATACTATGCTATTTGTGTTCTATTACCAGTGAAGCAAAAACGTTGTTGCTGCATAAAAAAATGAAATTGACTTGGAGTTCTAACAATGTTTCCATTTACCATCCAGCTATCACCAAAAACTAAGTTGACTTCGGTATCCTTGATTTATTTTCAATTTTGCAGGCAGAGATTGCTCGTCAAGAAGCAAGGTTAAAGATGGAGAGAGATAATCTCGAGAAAGAGAAAAGCGTCTTAATGGGAACTGCATCAAATCAAGATAATCAAGATGGAGCTCTTGAAATTACAGTAAGCGGTGAAAAATACCGTTGCCTCAGATTCGCCAAGGCAAAAAAATAAGACTTTACCGGGGCTGACATAAAGGAAAAAGTTCATTCCTCCCTTCCCCAAAAGAGGGTTATTCCTGCTGAGGACTGGCTTAGCTCAAATAATGTACATCTAGGATCATTCATGTATTCACATTAAATTGTTTATTGCAGTTTATCATTCTGCTAGATTTTAAAAAAGTGTTATTACTTTCTCAATTGAATTTTTTACCAGTTTAATATTTTGCAGAAAATTATTATAATCTTTTGAAAGAGAGTATGAAGTAGCATATCTTTGTAACATCAATAACTAATATAAATAAAGTTACGATATTCTCTTTATTATATGTCATAGTGAAGTTAAACAATCCACAAGAATTGAGTAAAAATATAAATCTACAAGAATTTGTAATGAGGTTAAACATAATCATGATTGAAAATAGCCCCGAAAAGGGTGCATTTCTCTAATGGTGTCAACAATGGATTCAGGACTTAAAGTAGCATCAACTTTAAGTATTCCCTCAGACTCATCAATGTTAAGCAAATCCAACTGAGATTGCAGAAGAGAAGCAGGCATATAATGTTTTCCTTCGGACGCCCTCTTATTAACTCGAGCAATCAGCACTTCAGCCGGAACATCCAATAGAACGAAGTTAACCGCACTTTTATAACCCTCTGATTTATAATCAGGATCACCTGATCTAAGTATTTCTCTATATTGTTTCTTCAAAGCAGAGCAACCGAGAACCAAACCCTTTTTGTTAATCAAGTATTCTTCAATGGCATCTCTCAGCGATTCAAGCCATGGCTTCCTGTCTTCATCTGTAAGCGGGATTCCCATACTCATTTTTTCTGTTGTATTAAAAAAAACGAGATGCAAACAAATGAAAAATTAAAAAATATGCAAATTTTATGAACTGTGCTCTATCTGAATCCATCAAAATGCAGGGAATCTATAAGATTAAACCGAAACAATTACCTTTGTTTGATTGAGAATGAAAATCATCTGCGTCAAGATACTTATATTTAATCACTTTTTCCAGCTTCTGACCAATTGTGCTGCAGAAGCCATATTCAAGAAGCATCATTATTTTTTCCACATAAAATAAGAAATTCTCAATAACAAAAATGAAGCAGTTATGTTACACGAATGACAGTTACGTTTTTCCGGCTCCGGATACACCCATGATGACGATAACAGCACCTGTTAAAACCATTTATGTAATGAAATCTGCATACAAACATGAATGATCCAGGAAGAGAAATAGTAAAGCATTTACCGTTTGTTGAAACCATGGTATGTTTTGTCTTGTGATAATAATAATAATAATTCAAGAAAGTTGAGAAAAAAAGAGAGCCTTAAGAATGAAAAAGTGAACTGTTTAAGGAATAAAGACAAATGAAGATTTCATAGTCACATATGCAATTATCTGAGTCAGGTTTCCGATGTTTTGAAAACAACGTATTTTAAAAAATTCAGAGTCGTGTGAGATTGTAAGTGTTGTTTGATGTTGAATAAATTTTTTAATAATTGAATTGTTCTAATAGATTATTGAATAATGTGTTGAATGTTATATGAATTAATTTGTGTTGAAAATATTTAACATATTGAATGAGAAATGAATATGGACCACTTATAATATTTTTCAAAATATAATTGGTTATTGTAATTGTTTATATTTTTATCTCACATAAATTATTTGGAGTCAATTATTTTATAGAAATTTAATTTTTTATTTATTTTTATATTCACTAAAATTCATCATTTTCTTTTGTAGGTAAATAGAGTTTTGGTTCATTTGATTTGGACAAAGAAAAAAAAATTATTTTTTCTCTCTAATTTTTATTTAGCCTCCAATAAATTATTGTTTGTAGCTCTAAACAATTTTTCAGTGAAATGAATCTCAACAATAAAACTCTTATAATAAAAAAAACAAAAACATAAAAAAAAAATGAAATAAAAATAGTGGGATAAGGTGTTGAATTTTATTAAACAAAACTATTGTAGTGAGTAAAAGTTGAATGAGTGTTTAATTGTTAGGTGGAAGAGAGAGAAGATGATATGGAGTGTAAAAAATGCGAAAAATAAGTATTGAATAATTTTGTCATTGTAGATAGTCTAAAAGTTGAGTTTTTAGTAGATTTTGTTTTGCTGAGTCACATCTGTCTGTCTGACCTGATCCATTTTGGTTGGTGCAATGGACGGAGAATTTCTCGTCAACTAACATAAGTTAAGGGTGTCTAAACTAAAAGTCAATTTAAATTAAATTTTAAATTATTATAGAAATTGTATAAAATTGAATATTATTAAATATAATTTAATATTTTTATGCATTATATATATATATATATATATATATATATATATATATATATATATATATATATATATATATATATATATATATATATATATATATATATATATATATATATATATATATATATATATATATATATATATATATATATATATATATATATATATATATATATATATATATATATATATATATATATATATATATATATATATATATATATTGGGTCTGCCCTTGGTCCAATTCTACGAGAACTCAATCCAATTAGGCCGATAAAAGTATACTGGCCAGTTCTGTCCTCGAGATCGTTGGGCAGCAACTCCCACTTCCCGCAAGGAGGCAACCTCACCGCACGAAGATAAATTCAGTCGGTCTTAGAAATATCATCGTCGGTCAGGAGGACCTCGAGGTCACCCTCTGATCCTATCCCCGACCAAGACTGATCCCCTCACACGACTCCGCGTCTGGCGGGGAGCATCTACGACGAGCAGAAGCGCCTTACGAGCATCCTCCTCGTAGGGATGACTGTCAACGTCTCTAAATATCGTGAAGTCTTCGTGATTCCGGAAACACCACATCCATATCCTCCTGATCTTGCAGAGGAAGTCATCCAAGTGAAGGACCACATGCGGGTCCCCACTACTCACGTAGAACCTGACAGTCTCCACTTTGGGCCTGTTTGACCAGCCTAGTGAGTAGACCTTGACCCAGCGTTAAGGGTTATAAATACCCTCTCTTACGAGAGGGTCGGGTATTAATCATTTCTTACTCTCTCGCTTACTAGCTCATTTCGTATCTCATTTTGGCATCAGAGTGTCTTGTAGGTATCCCCCACCTCACTCTCAAGTTCTGTTCGAAGTAAGCTGTAACGATCCATTCTGGTCAGTTACGATCAATGGCGCCGCCTGTGGGAATCACTACTTCCCCGTTTTCATTCATCCAAGACAAAAGCTAATCCAATTCCTTCTGAATGTCATGGCTGATCACACGACAGAAAATAACCTGAATGTCTATCTCGCCGACGTTAACAATAACGTCGTCGGTCACGACACAAACATCAACAACGCTGGTCCCATTGGCCTCAACTTCGGTAACAATAACAATACCGGCAACAACAATGGCCACGTCGGGGGCATGCCCGACCCCTCGGAGTACATAGACGGATTGACTGCATCTTCGTCATCACTGTCCTGACGACTCGAAGACGACCGTCTTCTTCTCTAGAACTATCAGCCACTCGCGTTTCAGGAGGTCCCCGTTCCTATGGATGCTGATGCCACGACCAGGGCGCTGTTTGCGGCAATAAATCAAACAAACTACTTGATCTTTTCGCAGGAGGAGAGATTAAGGGCGCTTGAAGATTCTCGGAGAGCCCCCAGAAGACATAGGAGGCCTGATTCTTCTCCTTCTAGTCAGATAGAGGACCATCCCTAATCTCCCCCGCAGAGACGCAGACATGATGTCTCTCGAAGCCCCTCTCCTCGACCAATCGGGTGACGCCCCACGTTGGAGAGGGATCATCCCGTAGATACGGGGAGACGAGATCACGCCCCCCCGCATCAAGAGCAGAGACCCCCTGGAAACAGGAATAGGGGAAACAACGAACGACCACACCACCCGAGGAATCCTCCACGCGACCAGAGTCGTCATCACGACCGCCACTACAGCAGGCCGCCTTCTCGATCTCCGGACAGAAGCGACGAAGATGACCCCCGCGGTCCCATATCACAAGCTATTATGGAGGCACCTGTTCCCCCGGGTATGGAGAAACCTCCCCATCTTAAGGAGTATGATGGCATTGCCGATCCAGTCGACCATATCGACGGGTTCGAGGCAATGTTGCATTATCATAACATCTGGGGACCAATCAAATGTCGGTTGTTCCCCACGACTTTGAGAAAAGTTGTGATGGACTGGTATAAGAGCCTCGCCTCGGGGTCAATTACCTCCTGGAGGAATTAAAATAACCATTTCATCAGTTCATTCACTGCCTCACATTGACATCCGAAGACTGAGGCATCCCTCGAGGCCATTGTCCAAAGAAACGACGAGACCCTCAGGGAATTCATTGATCTATTCAATCGCGAGGCCATCCAGGTCCCGTGCACCGATCATATGAATAAGTACCTGCTCAAGAGAGGACTCTTCCCAGGCACAGAGTTCAGAAAAGTCGTTGGCATTGAACCATCGCAGACATTCAATGCTCTCCTCGAGAAGGCTAGGGCTTATATGGACTATGAGGAGAGGGAAGCGACCAATAGAGCTCGGGACCCGAGGAACCATGCATCAACCAGCAATCCACAGAAACAAGATTCCGACCCTCCTCGACGAACAAGCAAAAAGAGGAGGGATGAAAAACCACGGGATCCTCACGAGCAAAGAGGGCCCGCTGGGAGATTTACTGAGTACACTTCGCTGACAGTTTCCCACGAGCGCATCTTAGTGGAGTGTGCTAGTACTGGTTTAAAGGACGGCGGCGTCAGGCGTCCTCGCTCTGCTCCTGCTAAGCTCAGGGATGATCGGAGAAAATACTACTAATATCATCAAAGTCATGGACACCTGACTAAAGACTGTGTCCATCTCAAAGATGTTATTGAGACCCTCATTAAAGGGGGAAGACTTGGGAAATATCAGCACAGCGACGCCCCTCGTCGAGATGCCTATGACACAAAGGAGATTGAGGAGGATGCCCGGCCATCAGACGAGATGGTCCCCATCCAAACAACATTCTCTGTTACAAGACCAGATGATTTCTACATCCCCAACGATATCAAAGAGCCTCTCTTCACACATATTAGATGGGAAAGGTTCCCTCCCGCCATGGTCATAAATGGAAGGGGGTTCAAAGATATAACTATAAACTCCGCGAAGAGAAAACTTGACGAACTGGTCGATACCGCCCCCCGCAAACGGTGACATTCGAGAGGGTTAAGGGTAGATCGGAGCCGATCACATTCTACCTCAAAGAATTTCCCGGAGGGGCCCCTAACTCAGGCATTCCCCTTTTATTTAGGGTGAGGATGGCCAATTTTGACGTTCATCGCGTCTTGGTCGACGAGGGGAGTTCCATCGATGTAGTATATATCCAACTCTTCTGAACCCTACAGCTCGACGATACCCACCTGTCACCATATATGGGGTCCGACCTGCAGGGCTCCAACGGCTCGACCTCCAAACCTTAGGGGTACGTCGAGCTCTTTGTCACCTTCAACGAGGATACCGCTACCAGGAAAGTCAAGGTGCAGTTTCTGGTCATCGACTGCCCGTCTCTCTACAATTGTATTATGGGGAGACCAATACTGGCGGAACTGACTGCTGTTCCCTCCACCGTCCATCTGAAGATGAAATTTTATACAAAGAGAGGACACATCGCCACCATCCAAGATGGCCTAGCAGCTGCCCGAAGATGCTTCAACATGGCATTAAAGGGACAGAGCACGATCGACACTGGAGCATAACCCGCCAAGAGAACTACTACAGTGCGACCAGAGCCACAACTCGCCAAGACAAAAGAACAGAGAGCTCCTCCAAAGGTAAACTTTATATCGCCAGACACCCGTTTCGACCAGGATGAAGAACCCAACGGCGAGGAGGGACTCCTCCAACCAATCCCAGATGGAGACTTTGAGCTCGTCCCTCTCGTTGAAGACCCTCACAAAGGCGTGAAGATCGACACCGGACTCCTCGACCTGGCGAGGAAGCAGATCAAAGCTTGATTGAGGGAGAATACAGACATGTTCGCGTGGAGTGTTGTAGAGATGCTCGGTCTCGACCCCGAGGTCTCCTGTCACCAACTGGCCATTGATCCAGCCACTAAGACAATAATACAATGTTGGCGTAGGCAGTAGTCTCCTGAGAAAGCGGAGGCCGCTGGAAATGCTATAAAATACCTTTTATAGGCAAATTTTATTTCTGAGGCCAGGTATTCAACCTGGCTATCAAATGTTGTACTAGTTAAAAAGAATAATGGAAAAT